GTAGGGGGTGCCCCACCCCCCACCCGGACAAAAAACTCGTTTGGGGACCTCTCGGGGGACCCAGCTTCCTAGGATCCCACCATGGCAGGCGGGCCGCCCCTGGCCCCGCCGGGGTGAGCGCGCGGGGGCGGGTGTTTGGTTTGAAAAGTGCACGTTGCTAACCGCCGGCGCCCCCCGCCCCCGCCGCGGCCGCCGAGCGGCGAGGGGCCGCGCAGAGTGACAGCTGCGGGTGGGGGCGGCGGGCAGGGCCCGGGCCGGGAGGGCCGGGGAGCCCGCGCGAGTTCCCCTTTCCTTTGGAACAAAGGAAAGTCTGTCGCCGAGGCATCTGTCACTCCCCGGCGGGTCCGGGAAGCGGGGCTCGGGGGGCCGGCGGCCCGAAGAAAGTTTGTACGCGCCGGGACCCTCGGGCGGGCCGAGCGAGAGCCGAGCCTCCGGCGGGGGAAACGCTCGGTCTCCCGGGTAGGGGGCGGCCGACAACATGGAGTCCGGGCGCAGGTCGGGTTGTTGGGGGGGGGGGGGCGGCGGTGCGGAGGTGGGAGCCCAGCCCCCTTCCCTCTCTTCCCCTCCCCTCCCCCTCTGGGCCGAGTTCTGAGCACAAAGCCGAGCGCGTAGGCTCGGCCGCCCCGCGCCCCGAAGAGTCCGTCGGCGCGGAGCCGCGGGGGAAGGGGGTGGGAACCAAACTTTTTCCTGCCTCGGGACGGACACGTGAGTTTTTCTTCTCCCAGAGCCCCCGCCCCCCCGGACTGCGGGCCCGCGGGTGAGCTGGGGGCGCCCGTGCTGACGCGGGGCTGGGGGGGCGAGGGGTGCGGCGCCCCCGCGCAGGCCGGGGTTGTCCCCGCCGCCCCGGAGCCATGTGCTCGGTCGGACCGGTGCGGGCCGCGGGGCGGGGGGCTGCGCGCTTTGTGTGAACCGCCGGGCATGCGGCCGCCGCGCGGCCCGGGGAGGGTCCCGCCGGCCGGGCGGTTGTCAGAAAGTTGGTGCGGGAGGGGCTGCAGGTCGGCGGCTTGCAGGGTGTGCAGCTGGGTGCACCGGGTACTGGTAGGTGGCGAGCTTGCTCCCTCAGGCCAGTTGGGATAAGCACTGAAGACTGACGTGATGACATCTGGAGTTTTCCTAGCCCGAGAGATCGTGGGTGGGCGGGTCGGGTAGGTTGGAGTTCGTGGGTGGGCTCCTCTCCAGGAGCTGGGCTGGTGGTGTGGGTACCGGTCGATCGCGCCAGGGGTGGGATGTGTACACTGAGGGGGTGCTGTATCTATCGGCGAGTTTTATGGGGATTCCAGGGGCTGAGGGAGTTGGTTGCTGTTGCTGAGAGAGTTGTCTGGTGTGATTGTGGGGTGTATACGTGGGATCCCTCGCCGGGTTGTGAGTGGGCTGAGCTGCAGGACGCCGTGGTGGAGAGGCCTGTGTAGACAGGCTGGAGGGGTCGTTCCACCGGCCGACCCTGGAACCCTACAGTCTGGCACTTGGCTGCAGCAGCCAGGGTGGAATTTGTACAGATAACCTTGAGTAAACTCCCAGCCTGCCAGGGCTGCATACATCCCTTAACCCAGATCCAGACTGCCCCAGCCATCGAAACTGCAGACACCTGACTTCACAAAGCAGTCGGATTGTTGGCGCTCTCTGAGGAGTGGCACCTCTAATCAATGCCTGTCTCACCTCCAGGTGGCCTGGCTGGGAGGGTGGACTCTTCCCTCGAAAGCCTGGCCTACCCAGCCCAGTTATCTGGGCTCTGGCCCAAGCGGAGGAAACAAAACCTGGGAAATGCCAGAGTCTGTTGGCCCAGCCTCCTGGGGAACTATTAAAAGGCCGAGAAGGGAGGAGTCTTGAGATTCAGGCATCAGCTTGGCCTGGAACTTTTGGTTTAAAAATGTAAATCTCTTTTGCTTATGTGAACAAGAAGTTTGTCAGGGTGCTGAGCATCTGAGCACCTTTCATTGGTTGTGGGGGCTCAAGCCTCAGAAGAGGAGGAAAGATATTAGCCAGGTTGGAGGGACCAGAGCTCCGGCCTTGCTCATTTATTACGATTTTTTGAGGAGTTTGTTCTGAGACCAAGCCAGGAGCTAGATCACAAAGGAGAATGAATGTATGAGAGAGAACCTGTAGGGATGGCTTAACACTCAGCAGGGCACACAGTAGTTGCACAGTAAATGTTACGTGGATTGCTATAGGACCGTGGTGACTGATAGTTTCCTGACATCTTGGGAGACCTGGGAAGCAAGATGTCATGGAGTAAGGGTGGGGACCAAATTACCTTGATCCAAACGCACTACCCTATACATGCTATATCCTGGATGTGTTTTCTCTGCCAGTCAGCTTTATTGAGATATCATTCATGTACCATAGAACTTGCCAATTTAAAGTGAACAGGTAGTGTTTTTTAGTACAGTTGAAATTTAAACAATCTAGATTTGGACTGTGTGGGTCCACTTATCTGTGGAATTTTTCAATAAGTATCTGGCCCTGGCTGGGTGGATCAGCTGATTAGAGCATAGTCCAGTACACCGAAGGGTTTGGGGTTTTATTCCTGGTCAGGGCACATACCTGAGTTTCGTGTTCGATCCTGGCCCCACATACAGGACCAATTTTTCTCTCCCTCTTTTTTTCCCTCCCTCCCTCCCTCTCTGCCTCCCTTCCTCTTTTCCTAAAAATCAATAAAAACAAACGTTCAGGTGAAGGATATTTTAAAAAAAATACATTTGATTGATTTCCCACAGAGAGAAAGGAAGAGGGACAGAGAGCTAGAAACGTCGATGAGAGAGAAACATCTATCAGCTGCCTCCTGCACACCCCCTACTGGGGATGTGCCCGCAACCAAGGAGTGGCACGGCCCTTGACCGGAATCGAACCTGGGACCTTTCTGTCCAAAGACTGACACTCTATCCACTGAGCTAAACCGGTTTCGGCAGGTGAAGGATTTTAAAAAAATAAAATACCATACTGTCTTCCATCTGTGACTTGAGGTCCATGGATGCATTGATCTACACCATCTTATTAGGGGACTTGAGCCTCTGCCAGATTTGGGTATCAACCAATCTCCTGTAAATACTGGGGGACAGCCAAGTTTGGGGAAGTCAAAAGTTATTTGCAGTTTTTCAACTGTGTGCGGCTTGGCACCCCTAACTCCACATTGTTCAAGGGTGAACTGTATATTCATAATTATCCAAACATCACCACCGCCAATTTTAGAACATTTTTATCACCTCAGAAAACCTCCAACTCCCTTTAGCTATCACCCTTCCCAGCCCATTGTGGACATTTCATTAACATGGAATTATATAATGTGTGTTCCTTGTAATGGGTTTCTTTCACTTAGCATTATATTTTCAAGTTTTCATCCATATTGTAGCATGGATCAGGACTCCAGTCTTTTTTATAGCCAAGTAATTATTTCACTATATGGGTAGACCTCATGTTATTTATCCATTTGCCAGTTATAGACACTTGATTGTTTCCACTTTTTGCTTTATTACTGATTGATTTGAGAGAGAGAGAAAGAGAAGGGAGACAGAAATCAATATCAATTGACTCTTATGAGCCCTGACTGGTATTAAATCCAAAACCTCTGGCATATCAGGTTGACAATCTAACCCTGTGGCTGGCAAACTGTGGCTCACGAGCCACATGCAGCTCTTTGGCCCCTTGAGTGTGGCTCTTCCACAAAATACCACAGTCTGGGCGAGTCTATTTTGAAGAAGTGGCGTTAGAAGAACTTTAAGTTGACAAAACTTGGTTCTCAAAAGAAAGTTCAATCGTCGTACTGTTGATATTTGGCTCTGTTGACTAATGAGTTTGCCGACCACTGGTCTAACCCAACTGAATTACCCAACCAGAGTTCCACCCGTTTGCTGTTAATGAAAAATGTTGCTATAAACATTCGTGTACAAGCTTTCATGTGGACATAGGTTTCCATTTGTTTTGGGTACCTAGGAGCGAAATTACTGGGTCACATGGTAATTATTTAAGAGCCATAGTGTCTTAGGTGGCTTTCATCACAGAGAGGAAGGGAGAGGGATAAAAAGTTAGAAACATCAGCCGGGACCGGTTTGGCTCAATGGATAGAGCGTCGGCTTGGGGACTGAAAGGTCCCGGATTCGATTCCGGTCAAGAGCATGTACCCTGGTTGCGGGCATATCCCCAGTAGGGGGTGTGCAAGAGGCAGCTGATCGATGACTCTCTCTCATCGATGTTTCTAACTCTCTATCTTTCTTCCTTCCTCTCTGTATAAAATCAATAAAATATGTTTTTTTTAAAAAAAGAGAAACATCAATGAGAGAAAAACATTGATGAGCTGCCTCCTGCACACCTCCTATTGGGGATGTACTTGCAATCAAGGTACATGCTCTTGACCAGAATGGAACCTGGGACCCTTCAGTCACCAGGCTGATGCTTTATCTACTGAGCCGAACTGGTTAGGGTCTAGGTGGCTTTCTTAATCTCTCTGGGCCTTGGTTTGCTCATCTATAAAATGATGATAATAGTATTATAGTACCCCCTTTACAAGGGCTTTGTGAGGTTAGAATGAGATAATAAATGGAAAATGCTCTATACAGAGCATGGAAAACGGATCTCAATAGTAACTTAATTATTTCTAGGCTGTTACTGCTTATTAATGAACTGCCATTTGCAAGGAACATGTAAAGTAAATGACTGTCTATCCACTATGCTGTACACCTGAAACTAATACAAAGTAATATTAAATGTAAACCAATTGGAGAAATTTTAAATTAAAAAAAAAAAAAAAAAGCTGCTATTTAGCTCAGTAGTCATCTCCTGAAATAGAGGCATTTTGGACTCCTCCCTTCTAGGTTGCCTAGGCTGTGGTATGGCCTGAGGCTTTGAATTGCAATTTCCCCATAGTTCTGGTGTCCGAGGCTCTAATAATGGTGTGTTTAGAGAATAGGAAGAGGGTGAGAGGCAATGCATGGTAATAACATAATGTCCCCATCCCCTCTGTCACTTGTTCCAGGCTTGCCTGAGATCCAGCTTAGCCATTGGACATCATGTCAGACAGTGACCTGGGTGAGGACGAAGGCCTCCTCTCCCTGACAGGCAAGAGGAAGCGCAGAGGGAACCTGCCCAAGGAGTCCGTGAAGATCCTCCGCGACTGGCTGTACCTGCACCGCTACAACGCCTACCCCTCTGAGCAGGAGAAGCTGAGCCTCTCCGGACAAACCAACCTGTCTGTGCTGCAGGTAAGGAGGGGGCAGCAGGAGACCTGGGTTCTAGTCCTCTCCCAGCCCTATCACTGACTCACTGTGTGGCCTTAGGCTGGTCACCTCCCTCTCTGGGCCTCAGTTTCTTCTTTGGTCTGATGAGAATGCCCAGTCCCCCGCCACAAAGGAGAACAGTGACATGAGGTCATTGCAGCTAGATTTCAGATTTTTTTTTTGAGTTCTGAAGAGGCAAGGAATTGTATCAATGTCTAGGTGTCTCGTTAACATTGGAGGCCGTGGGAAGGTGAGAATGCATTGAGTGTTTGGAGTTGGGCTCCAGCCCAGAGTGATGCTTGGATGGTGACTTGGTTGCAGGGGCAGCTGGTGACCTGCAGTGTGGTTAAAATGGGTTGGAATCATGGCCAAAGAAAGGGCAAAAGTCAGAGATTCTGGCTTCAAAACCCAGTTCTGCCACATAGAAGCTGTGGACCACATCTTGATTTCCCCATCTATAAAGTCGGGGTTCCGATCCTCTCCTGCCTGACTGAAACGTTGTGAAGAAGAGATTCAGAACTGGACGTGAAGGTGCTTTGAGTACATTCATAAGGTATTTGTCAAAGTGCAAAATACTGCCTCACTTGCCGACGTGTACGTGTTTTGTATAAGTGTTGAGGCAGGAGACACCCGGTCTGCCTTGCCTCTAGTTTGGCTCTCACCTACCTGGGAGACACAGAGCAGGGCCTCAGCCGAGCAAAGGCCCACCCCTCTTTCCACTTCCGTCCTTTCCTAGACCACTTCTCCAATCCATGAAATGGTTTCTCCCTCCTTTCCTTGCCCCACTGTGAGCCTCCCAGGTCTTCCCAGCTCTTGTCCCTCCTCCATGAAGTGTCCGTCCTCAGAACTCCTGTCACCTGACTTACACTCGCTGGGCAGCGGTTCATTGGAGTCTGCCTACAAGAAAGGCTTTAGCCAAGACCGGTTTGGCTCAGTGGATAGAGCGTCAGCCTGCAGATGGAGGGTCCTAGGTTCGATTCCGGTCAAGGGCATGTACCTTGGTTGCAGGCACTTCCCCAGTGGGGGGTGTGCAGGAGGCAGCTGATCAATGTCTTACATCGATGTTTCTGACTCTCTCTCTTCCTTCCTCTCTGTGAAAAATCAATAAAATATATTTTAAAAAGAAAAAGAAAGGCGTTAGCGTTACAAACCCCGATTCAGATCCCATCTTCTCCACAAGAGGTAGCTTTGACGTGTGCTATGCCTCTGCCTCCTCACTGAGCCTGAGTCTCCCCTTCTGAGAAGGGGAGGTGGTTGTAGCATTTTTGCAGTGTGTGAGGAGGAGGGACAGAAAAGAATTCAAGGCGCACTGTGAGGTGTTTGGCGGAATCGGTGCTTCTGCTTCCCTTTATCTCATCTCTCCTAGATCATAGGTCTTGGACTGACCCGGGTGTCTGGCCGTGCCTCTCTCCTTACAGTGTACTGCCAAGCACTCTACTGTGCCCATCTCTATGCCGGACAGAGTTGGGAGCCCAGAGAGGAACCAGGCGCATTCCTACCCTCAAGGAGTATGTATTCTTGGATGAAGTAGCAGGAAAGACTGGGTCACTGATTTTTGCAAAAAGTGATCACTGCTGAGACAGAAAGCAGAGAGCCAGGGCAGGGCTTCTGAGCTGCCCTGGAGCCTGAGAGCCAGTATTACCTAGATAGCCTCTTTACTGGTCTTCTTGCCTCCTGCCGTGTTCCTTTAAGTCCATTCTCTTGAACACTAAAGTGCAATTCTGATTATGTCACACACATCTCAGACCCTACTGACTCAGGATAAAGTCCAAACTCCTGAGGTACTCAGCAGCCTCCTCTCTCAGTTCTTCCTGCCTGGAGCCCTCTGGGCCTCCAGGCTTCTTCCTGGCCTTTCTGATCCTGGGTCACTCCGCTTAAGCATGTTCTTTGGAAAGCATCTGCTTTTCCCAGCCTAGATGTGTGTTCCCGCTGTGCCTCATACCTGCACTGGCAAACCACGGGTCACACAGTAATGAAATTGCTTTTTGCCAGGGACACTGTTTCCAGTTTAAAGAAAATATTTTTATTATCACATCACTTAACTATGTACAAATTGAAAACTGGGTAAAAAAAAAAAAAAGTCTCGCTTTTGCTCTTATACTCCACTATAAAATACACAGTTTTCCAAAGTAAATGTAAAACCAGTGAGATTCCATCTAACTGCATTATTATAAGCAGATGGTGGTGTGCTGACTGGGCTGTGGTATGTGGTGTGACAGAGGCACTGACTGGGGTTGAGCAAGGCTGGTTGCCCCAGGCCATGGCGCTCCTGTCATATTCCCAACAGAAACACAAAGCCACAGTGTTCTTGTGGAGAACCAGTGGGTCCCTAGGACAGCATATCCCCAGATCCCACTTAGAGAAATGTAGGTCTGGGCAAGGGTTAGCCGGAGTTCCAGTGGCCACCAGCACTAGAGTCATGCCCAGAGTTCAAAAGCAGTGGGAAGCACCTGGCACTCCCTGGTGGGAAGTGTGCTGTGAATCCCCAAGTACACTCTGCTTAGAGGTCTTACGGGCACCTTACATTTCCTTGATAACTGATAACATCTCCGAGCTAGCTCTTTCTTTTAAACATTTTTTAAAAATATATGTTTTATTGGTTTTTTACAGACAGGAAGAGAGAGGGATAGAGAATTAGAAACATCGATAAGAGAGAAACATGGATCAGCTGCCTCTTGCACACCCTCTACCGGGGATGTGCCCGCAACCAAGGTACATGCCCTTGACCGGAATCGAACCCAGGACCCTTGAGTCCACAAGCCGACACTCTATCCATTGAGCCAAACCGGTTTCGGCTGACTCTTTCTTTTAGAAGGGCTCCCCTTGATAGCTCTTCCTAAGCTTATGTAGTCCGTCACCAGTTCCTATACATACCCCTTAAACAGTTCTGGAATAAGGCTTCTTTTCTATCTGGTCCAACTTATCCTTGTCTGATCACTTGTCACCCCTCTACTTAACATTAAAACCCTCCGATGGCTTCTGCCAACCTAATGACAACATCACCTGCCCCTATCTGCAGAGCCAGCTTCATCCCTGGCACCCCTCTCCATATTCCTGCCACACCAATGGATACCCCACACCAGTGGTCAGCAAACTCATTAGTCAACATAGCCAAATATCAACAGTACAATGATGGAAATTTATTTTGAGAGCCAGATTTTTTAAACTTAAACTATATAGGTAGTACATTGTTATTAACTTAATTAGGGTACTCCTAAGCCTTTGCTAAAAACTCAAGGGGCCAGCTGAGGCCGGTTTGGCTCAATGGATAGAGCGTCGGCTTGGGAACTGAAAGGTCCCAGGTTCGATTCCGGTCAAGGGCATGTACTTGGTTGCGGGCATATCCCCAGTGGGGGGTGTGCAGGAGGCAGCTGATCGATGATTCTCTCTCATCGATGTTTCTAACTCTCTATCTCTCTCCCTTCCTCTCTGTAAAAAATCAATAAAATAAAAAAATAAAATAAAAAGATATTTAAAAAAAAAAAAAAAAAAAAAAAACCTCAAGGGGCCAAAGAGCCGCATGTGGCTCTCAAGCTGCAGTTTGCTGACCACTCCCCCAGACCACTTTGCTCCCATCTGACCAGGGAGACTCCAGACCCATGGAGGACCACTGCCTTCCCACAGCACTAGGACTGGGTCAGCATTTGGATCCTTGACAATAATTGCTTTTTACAACACACTAAACTCCGGAAGCCTGATATCATTTATCACTATATCTCAGTGTTTAGCTCAGTACCGAGTATCTGGTAGATGCTTCAAAAATAATTATTGAAGTGACAGAAAATGAAAAGTGTTGAAAATGTCAACAGGCAGGACCTCAGAAGTAAGGAAATGTGGCTCATCAATCAGGAAAAATGGGCTTAAGTTCCTGGAAGTATTTCTTTCCTGTATTTAATTTTTTGTTTGTTTTTAAGTGCCCTTTATTTTTTTTAGTATTTTTTATTGTTATTTAAAGTATTTCAGATTTCGCCTTTTTCCCTGATTGACACTTCAGGGTCCGTGCCCATTGGTTATGCTAACATGCATGCATACAAATCCTTTGGTTGATCTCTTACTTCCCCACCCCACCCCTGCCTTCTCTCTGAGGTTGCATGGTCTGTTCAGTGTATTTAATTTTTAAGACTTCATTATTTAAAATATTTGCAAATTCTGTATCCATAAAAAGAAAATATTCTAATGAACCCTTGGTACAAATCACCTGGCTTCAACAAGCATCAGCATTTGCCAAAGCCTATTTTCCTCTTTCCCTGGGGACATCTCTTTTGATTGTCTCTTTTAACCGCCCAGGAGCTATCTCATTAGCAAGTCAATGAGTCATTTAACTAACTGGTTTGCTGGTACTTGCCCAGGGCTAGGCAGGTGGGATGGTGAGGCCAACTAAAAGGTCTTTTGCGAAGGATTTTTCAGTGGTCCCTGACACACACACACACACACACACACCCCCTCTGGTCTAAGGGGCTGTGTTGGGGAGGGAAGGTGTGTGCAGCAGGGAGGTTCTGACCCCATTCCTTCACTCGTAGTACTGACTGGGGGTATGCTCTGCTCCAGGCTCAATGCTGTGTGCTGGAAACTCCCTGCTCTTGGCTAGCCTCAGGGGAGGGAAGACATTATTTAAAAGACTAAGAATTTAACCCAATCTAATACCAATGCGGTGTCTGAAAGGCTTCTCTCAGGAAGCAGCCTGTGAATGGAGTCCTGACCGACTTGAAGGAACGGGGAGGTAAGGGCAGCAGTCCCTTGGGTACGGGGAACCAAACAGGTAAGAAAGGAGCCTGCTGTGGTGGCCTGCTCTGTGGCAAGGTGTGGCCTGGCCCCACACTCAGCAACACCTTACCCTCTGAAGCTGCTCTCCTTACTCTGATGCCAGAGCTAACTGCCTCCCCATTCTTCCTTCCAGTAACCTCCACTCCCCACCTCAGGGCCTTCCATCTGGACGTATATCTTTTGAGGTTCTATGTAAGCTTATTTGCTTAAATAAAGGGCTT